TGGTCTAGCAATACTATCCCAAGCCAAATAATGAATACTCCTATGTTGAGCATCCAAATCCCAAAGGAAACTCCTGCAAACCTTCTCAATATCATAGAGAACAGATTTTGGTACAGAAGAATGTGTGACAAGATAAACTGATGAAGGAATTAGTTCAGAGTTTATCAAAGTAACTCTACCCGCCATTGAGAGATGCCTCATCCCCCATGTCACTGTTTTGGCACAAGCTTGTTGCACCAAATAAGCATAGTCCTTCTTCACAATTCTTCTCAAAATAAATTTAATTCCCAGGTACTCCATTTCCTCAACTTTTCTGCAACCCGTGATCTTAGCCAGCCGAGCCTTAGTTGAAGAAGAAGTCGATTTACTGAACAGAATGGCTGATTTCCCTCTATTGACTCTTTGACCAGTCCATGAACAATAGTTCTCTAAGATTGACGTAATCTTCTTAACATTTGGAATACTAGCACCTGCAAAAAACAAAACATCATCAGCATAAAGAATGTGGGAGACCAAAGGTCCCCCCCCCCCTTTGACAGGAACCCCCAGCTCCTTGAAATTCTGATGAAAGTTGGCCGACAGCAACTCCGAGCAAAGGATAAATAAGTATGGAGACAACGGACATCCTTGACGGAATCCACATTCTGCTATAATGTCTTCAGACAGATGTCCATTAACAAGAATAGAGAAACTTGGCCCTTGGACACAATTCAGAACCCATGAACTGAATCTAGCAGGGAACCCCATACGTTCCAAAACAAGTTCCAACGTCTTCCAACTCATCTTGTTATAAGCATGTTCCATATCTACCTTCAATGCAAGAAATCCTTTAGCTGCTTTAGAAGTCTTGAATTTATGCATTAACTCTTGACCCAACAAGCAATGGTTTGAAATAGATCTACCCTGGACTAAGGCAGCCTGCTCCTCAGAAATCAACCTTGGCAAAATCCCTTTAAACCGGTTTAACAAAACCTTTGCAACAATCTTATAAAAAGTTTGACACAAACTGATTGGTCTAAACTTAGCAGGATGATCAGGATTTGCAACTTTGGGAATTAACACCACCACAGTCTTCTTCCACATTGGTTCCATGAATCCAGTCAAAAAGAATTCTAAGCATGCCATATTGACTTGATCTCCAACAATTTCCCAAAATAATTTAAAGAATGAGGCTGTCATCTCTCCCCGGTGCCCTGTTCCGGCCAAGTGAAGAATCAACATCCCACACTTCTTCCTTAGTGACATCTCGATCCAAAACATCAGTAAACTGGGCTAAACAATTCCTCTGATCTTCTAATGATGGCCATCCCTGCTCCTCAATAATCTATCCATGCCATTTCCTCTTAAAGAACTCATAAAACACCTTAGAAATATCCTTTTGTTCTGTCACCACCGTCCCATCACCTTGCTTGATAGCATCAATGCATTTGGCTCTTCTCCTTGCTGAAGCCAAAGAATGGAAAAATCGTGTATTCCCATCACCTTCCTCAATCCACTTCACTTTAGCACACTATTTCCACCATGTCATAATCCGGGCTAAAGTGTTGTTCAGAAGTTGCACCTTAAAACCCAATGCCTCAGCCTGAGCTTCAGATAACCCATTTGGAGAACACTCCACTTCCTGCAGTATCTTGATCTCCCTGTCAAGGTCTTCCTTCAACTGGGTGAGCTCTTTAATCTTGTTCTTACTCCAAAAAAAATAAATCCTTAAGAGTTCTCTGACATTTTTTCTGAAGTTTAGCAGATTCTGTACCCACATCATTAACCTGCCACTTTTGTTTCACCAACTGCCAAGCCATAGGATAACTAGCCCGTACATCTTCAAACTTTATCCAATGAGAGTAGACCATCTTCACTTCCCCAAGAAAACTACACAAAATGGGACAATGGTCGGAAGCAAGTCTAGTCAGATGCTTAACCTTCAACCCCTGAAAAGAGTCAAGAATGGAGGAAGACAATAAAAACCGGTCCAATCTTGAGAAAATCCGACTTCTAATAATGTCCTTGTTATTGCTCCATGTGAAAGCCGGACCAATGTAACTCGGGTCAACCAGATCATTAGACATCATGAAAGAAGCCATATCATTTGCAGCTGGATTGAAATGAAAGGCCTTGCCACATTTCTTCTCTTCCTTAGCCATAATGCAGTTAAAATCTCCCCCTACCACCAAAGGCACATCTCCTGTGCGGTGTTTAGATATATCCTCCCAAACCGCCATCCTGGTATATCTATCCTTATCTACATACACCACTGCTATTTCCCAACACATATTCTCTGCTATCTTCAAACTTCCCATGATATATTGCTTAGCTTAAACAAGACCTGAAAAGAAATAAGATAATTCTTCCATAATACCAAAATTCCACCAACATTGCCAATGGAAGGTTGAAAAGCAAAATCCCAATCTCAGCCAATTAATCTATCAATGTCCTTCCTTTAAAAAAACTCCATCTTAGTTTCCAGCAACCCAATGAAGCTAACATTATTTTCCCCCACCAGGTGTCGTAAGTAATTCCCCGTCTCTTTCTTATGAGCACCTCTACAATTCCAACATAAGATGTTAAGCATTATCCACCAAAGGGGAAGCGTCCCCGCCGCCAAAAGTTTCAGAAAAAACAGATTTCCATTGCTCAGCAAAATCACCTTCCCGTGGAACATAATCGACAGATTTATCCGTCACCTTCACAAATTGTTCAATGGCTAAGGTCCCCAACATCCTGCCTAGACTCAGCACCCTTAAAACCCATAGAGCACCCTGCATCACCACCTGAAGAGCCAGCAGCCAATATCACTCCATCTATCTTCGAGCAGACCTGATCATGTACATTACCCATCTTCAAATCATGTTGCTTGGCTTGGGCACACACCTCCTTACATGAATCAGCTTTATGACCGACTTTCCCACACTTCAAACAAATCAGGGGAATCCCCTCATATTCGGCTGAAAAAACCTTCCTTCTAACCCATTAGCCAAAATACCTTTAGGCAATCTCTTAGATAAATCCAATCTAATGCATATACAAGCAAAGGCACATCTATTCCAAAGTTTAGTTTGTTCATCCATGAACAATGGCTCACCAATACCCATAGCCAATCTAGCCAAATTGGCATCATCCCAATACTCCAACGGCAAATTCGGAAGCCTTATCCATACTGGAGAAGTAAAGCCTTTCAAAGCTTTGGCAGATAAACCAGTTGTCCATTGATCCACTCCAATAATTTGGCCTGCAACATACCAAGGTCCACCAATCAAGACATTGTTCCTTGCTTCCATATTAACAAACCAGCATAGGAAGCAATCAGCCCCCATCGGCGTAATCTGAGTTAGACCAAGATGTCCCCATTTCCTATTGAGCTCATTCTGCACCACCCAAAACGGGAGCCTTCGGCCTAAGAGACTACCCACAAGAGTTCTATCCAGCTTCTGCATATTGCTCCTAGCTTTGTTCAAATCCAAATTCACTGATCCATCCTTCCTTAAGAAGTTTTCTGCCATTTCAACTGAGCTCAATTTAACAGCCGTAGACTTCTTCCAAGCATTTGATGCCGCTTTCAACTCCACCTTCTCATTCTTAACCGGTTTCCCAGCAACCGGTGTTTGCCAGTTTTGGATTGAAGGAAACTCATCCATACCAACAATTCCACAAACACCTGATGTGCCTCCAAAATTATTGAGGGTGTAATTGCATCCAAGGCCAGCCCGAACACCCCTATCCAGCTGCGCATCATTTCCCTTAGTTAAAGTATCCAGAACACCAAAATTTAAACAACTCTTCCCCTTATCAGCCTTCATACCATCCCTGTCAGCAACACGAGGCAACTTCACTTTACCAAGATCTGCTATACGGCTCATGCTACCAAACGTGAAAAAAGGTTGCTCATGCTCAAAAATAGGATTAGCCATTAATTTACTAATCTCCATCCCTACCACAGATTCAAACTCCCCAACCTGCTGCAACACAGAATCAGAATCACCTGTACTACTATGGAGATCCACAACCATATCCCCACCCGTAGGCTGATCAATCCCAACACATATATCTTCCACATGTAAACCTGCAACAGATCCTCTCATCCCCACAGGCTCACCTTCTACCAACACCTTATTCGTCTCCATTTGATCCGCAGATCTCAAAGAGGCAGCAACCTCCTTAATGAACTCCTCAGCCTCATATCCCCTCAATATCTCCATCGCCTCAACACGATCTGGAGATCCCTGCAGAGAGGCTACATCACGAGCATCCATCCCCTGTTCTCCATTTGACGACTCCATCTCCACCTCAGTAGAGAGTGCCGTCACCTTCTCAGCTGCCAACTCTTCATCAGAATCACTCGATCTAGTAGATCTAGCTCTACTAGGAGATCGAGCATAAACCATTCTACTCCCATCTCCACTACTACTACCAACCTTTGCTCCCGCAGCACTCCCCCCAGCCACATTTTTCACTGCATCCCTCCGACCAGATCCGCCTCCAGTCCTTTTCCCTCCCCGAACATCCTTCCCTCCACTGCTCCTCGTCGAAGGGTGACGAGGGGGTGACCGCGGGTCACCCCCCACCATAACCCACATAAGAGCACCGTCAAACCACGGCGACGAGATCCCCAATCCAAGAGAGCTTCCCCTTCGACCAGCGTCGCACAAATTTTTCCCTTCCAAGAGAGAGAGAGAGATAATGATAGAGAGAGAGGGAGAGATAGAGAGTGAGAGAGAAAGAGAGAGTGAGAGCAAGAGAGAGAGAGAGATAGAGAGAGAGAGAGAGAGCAAGGGAGAGAGCAAGAGAGAGAGAGAGGGAGAAAGAGAGAGATATATAGATAGAGAGAGAGAGGGAGAGAGTAAAAGATTGAGAGGGAGATAAAGAGAGAGAGAGAAAGAGCAAGAAAGAGCAACGAAGTGCAAGAGAGAGGGAGAGAGCGAGAGGGGAGAGAGAGAGAGAGAGAGAGGGAGAGAGGGAGAGAGAGAGGGAGTGCAAGAAAGGGCAAGGGAGTGTAAGAGATCGAGAGAGAGAGAGAGAGGGAGGGAGAGAGAGAGTGAGAGAGCGAGCGAGTGAGAGAGAGAGAGAGATAGAGGGAGAGATAGAGAAAGAAAGAGAAAGGGTGTGCAAGAGAGAGAGAGAGAGAGTGATAGAGAGAGAGCAAGTGATAGCAAGCTAGAGATAGAGAGAGAGGGAGAGGGAGAGGGAGAGAGAGAGGGGGAGAGAGAGAGCGAGAGAGAGAGAGAGCAAAAGAGAGAGAGGGAGAGCAAGGGAGAGAGAAAGATAGCGAGAGGGAGAAAGAGAGAGAGATAGATAGATAAAGAGAGAGAGAGAGTAAGAGATAGAGAGAGATAGAGAGAAAGAGAGGGAGAGAGGGAGAGAAAGAGAGAGGGAGAGAGAGAGAGAGAGAGAGAGAGAGGTAGAGAGTAAGAGATAGAGAGGGAGAGAGAGATCAAGAAAGAGCAAGGGAGAGTAAGAGAGAGATAGGGAGAGAGAGAGTGAGTGAGAGAGAGAGAGAGAGCAAGTGAGAGCAAGCTAGAGAAAGAGCAAGCTAGACCAAGAGAGAGAGGGAGAAAGAGGGAGAGAGAGAGAGAGATAGAGAGAGCGAGAGAGAGCGATAGAGAGAGATAGAGAGAGAGAGA